GTGTTCCTGATCACAGGAAACTCTCAGGAAAGCAGGAATGGAGGTTGTGTGCTCTGAAGCCTCCAGGGTGGGGAGGGAGCATTGCCATGGAAACCAAGGGAGCCTCTTCTGCTGCTCAGAGCCGGAGCTGAGCAGCACGGGCTGCGCCTGGTCTTCGGCCCCCTTCATGAGAAGGATGTGCTATTAGATGGGAGGATGCAAATCAGAGTTTTGCCGTCACGTACACAGCACTCCCACCATCAGGGATCCTGAAGTCCACTCCTTTTGAAAATCAAAGATCCTTTTCGTTGGGCGAAGAATCACTGACTTCAGAAAATTATATATTTGAATATTGAGACTTCTTAAAGCTGGGAAATTTGTATGTAAACCTAAGATTTTAAAAAGCCTTACAGTCTTGAACAGTAGCATAAATGTGAACCCCAGCTGGACGAAAGAACAGTGAAAACCCCTTCTGGGCTGCTTTATATGGTCCTGAAGCACCACCTAAAGATGAAAAAGCTGAATTACTACCCCGGAGAAAACCGGGCATTGTATTCCAGGGGGACACAATCTGTATTTTGATGGCGTTTCTGCTGGGCGCCACCTGACAGCAGGAAAAGGGACACTTGGGGCAGCCCCCAGACCGCAGTGTCAGCAGAGGGGGCAGGAGAGGCCCCCGCCCCTCCTCACTCGGGAGGGCAGGTGCAGGCCCAGAGGGCTGAGAATCCCGGCCTGCTAAACACCTCCACGTGTGCACAGCCGGCAAGTGGAGTATCTGGACACAACCCCCTTTTGCCCAACTTGAAATCCTGAAAGTAAAAAAACCTCTTAAGAAAGTCCTCCTGCTGCTCCCCTTTGTCTTTCTCAACACTGTGAAAGCTCTGAAATGAGCCAAATCAATATCCTCTTGCTGGTTTTCATGGTGCAAAGGGACGTCCTAAGCACCCCTTTCTTATTAAATGATGAATTATACATTTGTAAATGGCATTTAAACACATAGCAACTACTGCAACATTTTATATAGGCAGTAAAATCTGATTTTCATGGTATTATTTTGACTATATTACCGCACTTTAAATTTGAGCAAAATACATCAACTTCCTTCTGCCCCTCCCCCAAAAGACATATTAAAATGAATGCATTTTGGGTGGCACCTGTGGCTCAAAGAAGTAGAGCGCCAGCCCCATATATTGGAGGTGGTGGGTTCAAACCTGGCCCTGGCCAAAAAAAAAAAAAAAAAAGAATATATTTTAAGTAAACATGCACTGTGTGTGCTTATGTGAGGAGTTTAGGAAGCCTTTTCTTGAGCAAAAGGTAAGACAAAGTGTATATTATTGGCTGGTAGGAAAAGTTTGTTTCTTGTTACATTTTCAAAATAGGAACTTGAATGAAGATTAGCTTTTCATAGAACAATTTTTTTTGGTTTCAAATTTTCTTCCCCACATGAAAGTGCTAGAGTCGGGGTTTACACACATGACATCTCATTGGCAGTCAGCTAGTCAAGCCAGTTATGACCTAGACAATAATTGATGACTGACAGAGTGGTCTTATGATCATAATTTAAGTGTAACAAAAATCAGTCCAGCAATCAGATTGGGAGTTATTATTCTGATATGTATACCTCATTCCTGTTCTGCCTCAAACTCCTATTTTAAAGACCCCAAGTCCTCCCCCCGCCGTAAAGGGGTGTTGTGGGGGTGCACGGGAGAGTCCTCCGCTGGCTTCTCACTCAACTCCGCCCTTTAACAGGATGTGAATATGTCAGTTCCATACTCTAAGATGTAGAATTATGTTCCCTTTCTTATAACAAAAGAATGCCAAAAATTGTTTGCACATCCAGTGTCAGAGTAGGACATTCATACACTTGAAATCACCCAGCTTCCAGTATTCCCACTCAAGCTCCTGTCCTCCTCTGATCTGAGAAAGCTTCTGTAAGTAAGTTGCTGGGCTGATCTCAGCCCCTGCGGCCAGAGTGATTCTCTAAGTGGAGAGGAAGCTGAAATCTTTAGGATCAGTAAACGTTCAGTAAATATTTAAAATGTGGGGTGTTGCTCACAGGTGCTTACTGCAGAGAGATGGCACATTTGATATCATTCTGAGGTGGTGATAGTGTTTACAAAAGCACTTTATCCTTGCCTTCTTTTGGGGAGGGTATAAATTCAATGAAAAGGAAGATGAGTTTTTTCTTAATTTTTGTCCTTAATTTTTACATTTCTCTTGGGTGCAAATGCAACTGAAATAGTGTAAAGAGAAAATGTTTCTGGAGTCCTATGTTTTAATTCTTTAGATGACATAGCTAAGAGGTTATACGGAGGGCAATAAGAAAACTCTTCGAAAACAGTCTCTTAAAATAGAGCACTGGCCAAGCCAGAGCTAAGTGACTAGGTGAAGTCATGTAGCTAGGCTTACGCAGGCAAGCGCAGGGGCCCCTCAGCTGTTCCAAGTCTCCACTGGCCTGGTGACCCTATGCTGACCTTTTGTGCCCCACTTGTATCAGTTAAAGTAGCAAACTCCTAAGGAAATCAAACCCACCTGAGTGCAGCAATGGTCAGGAAGATCACTGTCCTACCCTCCCATAGTCCGACCCTGGCTGCTGCCCTCACTGGACCCAAGGCCACTCAGAGCCAGGAGAGTCAGGCTGAGCCTGGGTGGTGCCTGCATCTGATGAAGGCCACCCATGCCTCCACGTGGGTTGGGGCACCACATGCTCCATGTAACCAGCTCCCTAACCTGAAGCCGGGAGGGAAAGGATGCAATCCTAGGGACCAGGGACACTGCGTGCCCCCAAGAGAAACCTAAGCAGCTGCCCCAACCAGGACACCCAGAAGGGTCACTGGGCTTGGAAGGGAGGAGGCAGGTGCAGGTTTGTACAGGACGGCCACTGGGAGCTGAGGGTGTCTGGTTCAGGTAGCAGGCTACGCAGTAAGGAGAGTTTGCTTTGGGGACCAATAAGAAAATGAACTGTTTGGGAACTTCGTTCCTCTGGAGTAAGCCACCCGTTTGCATTTTTACTCGCAGGTGCCCCACCCCTGGCTGTGACGGCTCCGGACACATCACCGGGAATTATGCATCTCATCGAAGGTACGTGCACAGGCTGTCCCTTCCCCGAGAACTACTCTTTCTCTTTCTCCCTGAAGTGACAGGGACGTCATTCATGTGGTACACAGTCTGACACCCCTGGTAAAATTAGAGAGTCAGGTGCCCAAGCAGTCCCCTCTGCACATGGCTTCGCGAGAACATTCCTAAAGGCCTCTGGTAGTGCCTCTTTCTAAACCAAACTGATAGAGAAGAATGACACCCAGGGTGTGACAAGACCCTGAGCACGGCATCACCAGGCTGCTTCTAAGCCCCCAGAAGCCAGTCTCCTCAAGTTACGGCCCCACCCTTGCTGTGCACTCCTTGCAGAGGACCAGACTGGACCAGGACAGCCCACTGCTACAGACCCTGGGCCTGGCATAGAGCTGCCATCTGGAGACACACAGTCCTGAGACCCAGAGTCCCTGCCCGTGTGTCTCCCTTATACAAGACACTGTGGTGAAGGGGACGGAGAGACACTTGAGTGTCAGAAAAGAAAAAACACCCACAGTCATGCTAAAGACGCTCAGGCAGGCCTTACGCAAGGTTGGTAGGAGAGAGGAGTCGGGAGGCTGCCCTGGGGTCTCACGGGGGAGACTCTAGGAGGACACGGCCCAGGGGCAGGGTAGGTCAGTGCAAGGAGAAGGGGTCCAGGGCCAGCCGATGTGACAGAATCCTGCTGGAGGCTGGCCAGGGGACGAGTCATCCTGGTGCAGGTCCAGGGATGGGGCTGTCACAAACCTGACCACTGGGGTTCTCCCAGACTGGATTCCACAGGGACAGAGCAGGAAGCCCAGGTCGGCCTGTCAGGAGCCTGACTGCATGTGCTCAGAGGAGAGTTGTGTCACACATAGTCTGTACTCAGGAGTCAACTACAGATGGCCAATTCTTAGACTGTGTTTAGTTGGAAGCAAAAGCCAGTGCCAAGGGAGGGACAAGAATGTTTCTGAACTAGTACTGACTTAAAGTGAAGTCTCCCACAGTGGAGAGCAGAGCGCCCCTGCCCACAGCTGAGCCCAGCTGACAGAGCAGGTGGCCAACAGGACAGGGGCCACAGAAAGAAAAGGAGGGAAGAGGAAGAGAGGGAGGGCGGTTGGTGCAAGTGTGGACAGTGGGCAGTGCCCCCAGCCCAGGGCATACTGCTGTGCACACACAGCAGAGTGAAGCCCGCTGATGCCCGAAGTGACTGGGGCCTGGTGGTCAGAGTGGGGACCCTCCCCTGGCTGCTGGATCAGGGAGGGAATCCCCATGGAGGCTCTTGGTCACTAAAATCCTGCTGTGAGGATGGGATATGCTCCTCTGCTCACGTCCCTGCCATCTGGGAGTGATGTCTGGACAGTGCCTGTGTGAGAAGCCCGATTATGGTGCCCCCGGGGACCAAAGTGTGCCACTCAGACTCAGTGACAAGATCTCTCCCTCAGCTGAGTTCCCTGACTTTGCATGCTGACATTCTGGGGCAGGTGGCTCTTTGCTATGGGTGTGCAGCAGCCTCCCTGGCTGCCTGTCAGTCTGACAGCCACTGCTGGGTGTCCCTGGGGCTGCTGCAAACCAGGGGGTCAAGAGAGGCCTGGCACACGGCCAGGCTGCACCCACAGCACAGAACCAGCCTTGTACCAGAATGTGGAGCAGTGCGAGCCCTGGCTTCCAACAGGGATTGCCAGAGTTAGAGCGTTGGTTTAGATTAAATTAATTTTTTAAAACTCCAGTTAAATATAAAACAGCAAGCACATTCTTAGAAAACAAATCTCAGTCTTCTCTCACATCTGGAACGCCGGCAGTCCATGGTGCGTGCGTGTGAGCAGGACGAATGTCTGTGTTCTTATACAGTGTTTGGTTTGGTATCATGTAAGTTAAGTCATATTTGGTTTAAACATTTTTATTCATTTTTCACTTTATCTTAGAATGTTAAGTGGTACTAGATATGAACTTGTGATTAGAATACAATGTATTAGATTTAAGCTCTTCTATGTCCAGAGCAACTGACCCAGGATGAATCGTGGAACTAGAAAGCAAACTTGATTTTTCCTCCGGCACCCGTGAGTGCCACGCGGCCCTGCAGGGTGTCAGCACGTCGGAGTTGGCCTCACTGTCAGGTCACGCATCCCAGGAACAGCTGTCCTCACGTGGACATTTACATCAGGCTGGACACTCCGTTAGGCACAGTGCTGCCTGCAGTCAGTGGATTGACACAGAGCCGAGGCCCCAGTCACACAGGAGGAGCTCTGTGTGAGCTGCCCGCTGAGGGCAGACAGGAGCCACGCCACGGCCAGCAAGCAGCTTCTCCAGACCTAAGGCAGTAATCACGACCTGAAAAAACCTCCCCTCAGTTTCAGTCTCCTGTTGTCCATTTCCCGGGCACGTGAAGACAATGTCACCCAAGTGGTGGCTGGACAGAAAACCTCCCTCGAAGGTGAATCTTTGGCCTTTTTTCCCAGTTGTGCCACAATTGAGGTGGTGAATTACTTGAGTCCCAGGCACCTTCCGCCCCCCAGGTCACAGAGCAATGACCACACGGTGCCCAGGGCGCAGAGCCTCGGCTCCAGTGCGGTGCCCTGCAGGTGGGGTGCTGGCCGCTGGGTCTCCGCTGAGCACCGCCCTCTGCTGGCGGCAGCCTGGAGCGCAAGCACCCGGCCCATCGGCCCGCGTCACAGCGTGCGGAGCCCGGGAGGAGCCCGGGTGGGTTTGCTACTCTCGGAATGCAGCAAACGGAGGGCCCAGAGATCAGCAGAGCGGGAGCCCTCCTCCGGTAACGGCCCTTGAGGAGGCAGGAGTGCCCAGAGCCGCCCTCCACGGGAGGGATCTGCACCTGCTTCCCTGTGTCCGTCTGTGCACAGCGCCTGAAGCGCTCCCGCAGCTCTTACCGCGCGCCTGCTGAGGGCGGTGTTTGCCAGAAAATCCCTCATCAGATGCCCTCCCTGCTTCCTCAGTGAAGAAAGAAGCCTATAAAGGGACCTATAGAGCAGTTACTAACAGGCCTTATCTTTGTATTCTTGTTTACAAACAAACAAAATGTCTATCAGATTTTGCGCGCCCCCCCATCTTGTTTTCCAGTCATCTCTGTCCTTTGCTGTGACCCTTCCGGGGGCCACCTCCTTCCTTTGCAACCCACAGAACTGTTGGTGCAGGTGGCTCACTCAGGCTCCTCCCGGGCAGGCATCCCTTTCTAATGGGGTCACAGACGTCCAGGGGCCCTGGAGTTCCTGCACAGAGGCAAAGTCTGCTTTTTCACAAATGAGTGCCCTGTAGGAATCAGACTCCACCAGAACTCGGTGCACCTGCGAGGGTTCCAGACGGGCCTGCAGTAGCAAGACAAAATTTTCTGGACACTTACTATGTACCAAAAATTGCAATGAGCCTTTTGCACATATAATCTCACCATCATATGAGATTGTCATTATCCTAATGGCAAATGAAGACGCAAGAGCTTAGAGATCCCAAGCTACCCACATTGTCAACCCCATCTTTCCTGAAGCAATTTTGCTCCAATCTTCTGTAATAATGGGCAGTATCTGAGCCTCCAGGACAATAGGCAAAGGGCCAGACTGTCCATCTACCTGCCCCAGTGTTCCCAGGGAGCAGCACATCCCCCAAGACTCACCTGCTATGACACAAAGGAGTCTTCCATTCCAAAGACAGTGAAGATGCCAGGCTTGGGGTCACCTGCCCGCACGAGGAGCAGGCCTGCCTGGGAGGGTCCAGGACCCTCCTCTCTAGTTGGACGATGTGACTTCTCTCCAGGGAGCTTCTGAAACCTGCCACCCCAGCCCAGCCCAGCCCAGCCCTGCTTCTGCCCCAGAGAACTGCTCTCACTCTGGGCCCATAGCCACTTAGCCTCGTGCTGAGTGGCTGTCCAGCTCCACTCTGGCCTGGTGCGTGTCAGGCCCACTTCCCTGCACCACCTGGGCTCCCCGGTTTCAGCTGTTCATGAGCTCCAGCCCTCCCCCATCCTCTGGCAGGAGATGCAGGTGAACTAAAAGTGTTTATGGTGTGAGCACTGTAAAACCCCAGATAAAGACGCAGGCGTGTAATGGGCCCTGCATCAGTGATGGTGAAATGTGAAAGACAGTGCCGTCCAGAAAACTGTTAATCATTTAGAACAGAGTCCCGAACATCAACTCAGAATTCCAGGAACCTGGTGAATGGTAAATACTTATTGAGGCTGTTGTTTGTGCCGTGCCTCGGGCTACAGAACGATGGCACCCAGGGTGTTCCTGGTCTCACACTACAGATGGGCCATGGAGAAAAAGGACACACAACGGGCCCAGATGTTGTATTCTAGCAGGGGTGTCAGACCCACCCACAGGCTGCAGACAGGTTATTTGAGGCCTGTCCTACTTGTCTGAGGTGTCAGATATCATGCGAAGTCTATATAGACATTTTTTTTTTCTCCTCAGCTTCCCTTACTGTTTGTGTGTTCAGTATGTGGCCTCAGGCAACTCTGATTCTTGCAATTTGCAGCAGAAAAGAAAAAAAGGTTGAACACCCCTGCGTGTGTTCTGGGGCCTTAGGAGAAACCTGAGACTGGGGGTTCTTGGGATGATGTGTGGCCCAGGTGCAAGTGTCTGGTGGTCCCCAGACCAGCGTGGTACTAGGCAGTCACCCGGCCTCTAATATACTTTTAGTATATTTATATAAAAGCATAAACCTGATGAGCAAGTCAGGTCAAGGGCAGGGAAGCAGAGACGATCCTGAGCTGAACTTTGTAGAAGAATGAATCTCCCATCAGGCAGCAGAGGAAGATATTCTGAGCAAAGGAACAGCCTTAGAAAATGTGTCAGAATAACAGGCACAAAGTCAACATGCGTTTGACAGTGAATAATTTGGCTCAGTTAGAGTTTCAGGTGTAAGTCCACGGGAGTCGCTGTAGAGAAACTTGCTTTAGGAGTCTTGATAAATTCATTTAAAGGCATTAAACTTTATTCTCTAGAAACTAAGGACTTACCCAAGTAAGGGAGCTGCAGGGTTGGCAGGGGCCTACAGGACATGCCGTCAGAAGCCAGTGGCTTCAGGGAATGTGACAGAGAAAACTGGCACATGGGGAAGGTGCAAGAGGTGATAGGGGCCTCCAGCACGGGGATGGGGAGGGTGAGAGAGGAGACAGGAAGGGCCTGGGACAGAGGTCCCAGGCGATGTCATTGTCATCCTGTAGAAGTCAAAGAAGCCAGCTGGGTGGGGCCCGGTTCTGGCCAAGTATATTAACTTTGAGACTCTCTAAGTGTGTCCAGGTTAACAAAGGGGAAAGGTGAGCAGAGACAGGAAGGTGTCATCACCAGCAGACACACTGCTTCACCCTGCTGACTGCACTCTAGAAACGGAAGATGGGTCCATAGGCTAAGGAAGCAAACTTCAGAGCACACAGCGGGATCGGGGTGGGGGCTGCAAGCGGAAGGACAGGAGGGGTGAATGACTTTTGTGGGGTTAACTTTAGACCCTAGAAGGGGCTCACAAATGGAGATAGAAGGTGAAAGCAGAGGCTGTAGAATCACCCAGCATCTTCCTGTGCCAGCGCCTGTGTATCCTGTTACCACTTGCCATGACTAGTACTTCTGCCCCGTGACAGTCCCTCCCTCACTAGTGCCACCGCAGGAGCTGGCAGCCTGCACCCCTTCCCAGCACAGCAACTCTGTGGAGAATCCCATGCTGGGCTGGGGTCAGGGGAAGGGATGGAGGTTCATGTCCATGTTATAAGCAGAGAAAGAGAGTTTTAAAGTATTGAATGAGTTTTAGTTCCATTATTCCTGGGTTCTGGTGCTGAGTTGGCTAGTAGGGAAAAGTCCCCTTGTTCCCATCAAGCGTGAAGATTAGCAAGTAGTAAAAAGTGCAAAGCCTGCAGTCCAACATTGACATTCTGCCCCTGAGAACAAGGCCCTGGGCCTGTGGGGGCAACACTCTGGCCAGCAGGAACAGAGAGGGCAGGGCAAGGACCCAGGGCACAGGCACCAAGCTGCCCCAAGTACACCCGGCGCTCTGGCCAGCGGGAACAGAGAGGGCAGGGCAAAGACCCAGGGCACAGGCACCAAGCTGCCCCAAGTACACCACACTGTACACAGCCTTCTCGTGGGTGCCGTGGGGCCAGCACCCTCCCTAGCACGTGTCAGCAGCACCAGCCTGGAGACACACGGGGAGGTGGGCCCAGGCCTGGGCGGAGACTGAGGCCCCTCAGGGCAGTGGGCTCCCCACTAAGGACCATGTGCTTCTCAAGGCTCCAGCCAAGTCCAGTACTTGCCACAAGCTCAGAGCAAGGAGAGAGCTGAGACCCCCACCCCCTCCCCGGGTACTCCCCTGGGCACCAGCATCAGCGTTCATGTTCCATACTAGGGCCTCTCCACAAATTGCCTACCTGGTTTCTGGCTCTCATCTGATTTCTGATTCTTCCGTTCTTTTCAGAACATGCCATTTGTTTTGTATATTCTCCTGTGAGCCTGCATCTGTGTGTGTGTGTATACGGCCGGCTGGAAAACTTCCTTTAGAAAAATTCCCAACTTCTCCATGTCCCAAACTTTAAAAATTAAATAGAATAAGCACATTCAGCTCCTACTGAACCTTCTGCAGATACTGCCACAAGCCTGCACTTGAGGTGAATTGGAGCAGGTTGCTAGCACATCCACCCCTCCAGAACGCCGCTGAGGTGGAGGCTGGGCACTGCTGACAGAGACTGACTCCCAGGAACAAGAGCTGGGAAGGCCTGCGGTTCTCCTGAGGGCTCCCCAGTATCTGTGCACCTGTCCATCCTCCCTCTCTCTCTCTTGATCCTTCCCTCTCTCTCTGTCTCTCTCCCTCCATCTCTCTCTCTCTCTCCCTTTCTCCCTCCCTCTGTGTCTCTCTCCCCCCCTTTCTTTGTCTCTCTCCCTTCTCTCACTCTCCCTTCTCTCTCTCTCTCTCCATCTCTCTCTTTCTGTCTCCCTCTCTCTCCTTCTTTCTGTCCCTCTCCCTCTGTCTACCTCTCCTTCTTTCACCCTCTCTCTCCTTCTCTCCCTCTCCTCCCCCATCTCTATCTCTCCCTCTCCCCCTCCTGTCTCCCTCATCTCTCTCTCCTTCTCTCCCTGTCCCCCCACCTCTCTCTCTCACTCTCCCCCTCCTCTCTCCCCCATCTCTCTCTCTCCCTCTCCCCCCTCCTCTCTCCCTC